GCCAGTCGTGAATAGATCAATATTTTTTCCTAGCATTGGATGCCACTTATATGCAGATACTTTATAAGAAAATGCTGGAAGCGTATTTTGCAAAATATTAGTAAGGGGCTATGAGTAAGCTCATGTGTAAGTAGAGTCACTTCAAAGCTTCTGAAGTGTAGGGATTCAAACCTCTGAAAGATCCCAAATCTGAAAACGAACTTCCTTTTCATGACAAACCGCATGGTATACTTTTTAATGAAATTTCATTTAGGCATTCCGAAAATAATAATATTTTGTTAAGTGCTGCATTGCCTCTTAACTTAAAGATAAAATGAAATGGAAACTTGAGTCTGCTACTCATTCTGCCATCTTGGATCCCAGAAAAGTCATAACTTATGGCCAGAAGTGGCTGGAGGGACAATTAGCCCCCTTTTTTTGAGGAATTTACTGGGGAGCAGTTCTATGAACTTGTATTTATCTGTAATCATCTGATGTTATTTCAGCTTCAGATTATGCTTGCTAGTGTTGACATTTTCTTTCTATGGATTGTACATGGTGTGTTTGCAAGGAATTCCAAATCTAAGCAGCATGGAAAATTATGACCTGTGTAAGGTATCTCATTATGTAGGCCAGAACTTAAAACTGTCTTTCTATCAAGTTCTGCCAAATTTTGTAAGTCTTGCAGAACGTTATCAAATCATTATAACTGCTGAAAACTATACCCTGGAATCTGATTTTCATCAGATAGCTCACTCATACAAATAACTATTGCATACCTGATACTCTCTTTACTTAGATTTGATATGTCTTTATTTTAATATACTTGCAACAAAGGGCTATATATAAATAGGAAATAGTTGCAAGTGTTAACACTTAATTTATATACTTGAATTGGGGCATTTGGAAGGTGAATTAGAGTTCAGAATTACCTAATGATCTATATACAGCCTTCACAGTGAGAAGATGTGGGTGTGATTCATAGGACATGCAGAGTTAGCTGTCTATTAGTCTGTCTAGGTGTATAGGTACAGTGGTACATGTTGGAAGCCTCAAGCAAAGAATCCTGTTGTTTTGCAATGGACATGCTGGGCTTCCTTCAATCTAGATCAGTTTGATGATGGTCAAAATTAGGGTTGTTGATTTTAGCTTACAACCGAATCTGGTAATAAAATAGGAAAACTAGTGGTAAGAACACAAAAATAAATTACTGCGTGTGATTCCAGCATCTGTCTGGTCACCTTCTGCATTCCCATCTAGTTCCAGAAGCTGCTTTGGCTTCCTGCTCTAGTTTAAAATACACTATGGTTTCTTACAGGTCACTGGTCATAATGATGGAGGAGTCATTTACATCTTAACATATTTTGTCTGTAAAATGCACTATGTGCAAGTAATACATCTAACTGAGGTGACAGCTTTCATATAGATGATTGTTTTCTGATAATGTGGTAATAAACAGAATGAGAATGATTTGCACTGCTTTACGAACCCCAAACATCCGTAACTTTATTTACTATATTTCTCTTGTATTTTGTTTATTTGATTTTTTTAAAATGGTAGTCATACGTTGCAGTTCAAAGTCTGTACAAAGTGTACTTGTCACCTTGCACCTCGTTAGCGTTGGTAAGATTTCTTCCCTTCCTTCTTATTCTGACACAAAATCTTCATTTGTAAAACCTAAAGTTCCTCTAGACTAAAAAGGTTAAAATAAATACCTTATCGGATGGTATTTGCAAATGCTGCCAGCTCTATCACCACTACTTAGGGCATAAGTCACACCTTTTCATTCTCGCCCTTCAGTTGTTGGTGAATCACTTTTACCACAAATATGAAAGGAATGCTGCACAGTGCACTGAAAGTAAAGGAAAAGCAGAATCTATTTAAATTATTTAAACCAGACACAGACATGAGATCAGCAAAGCACTTAAATGAGTGTAATGATAAGCATAGAGTTTACTGTATACTTAAAAGAATATATTATCTAATGAGCTGCCAATAACAATTTCCTTGCTCTGTCTCTGCCAGAATTTCAGAAAAGTATTCTTGTGTTTTTCTGGGTATATGTGTTTTGATGATCAGCTGCATTATTTGTATGTGACTCTGAAAATAAATGAGGCTGTCGTTTTTGTTAGCAGTGGGGAAAAAAAGTCTTGGAAATGTCTTCTGTAGATACAAGATGGCATAGTACATCTTAACTCACAAAAATTGAGGATTACTATGGGTGATGCGATTTGCTGAACATCTTTCCTGGCTAGCAAAATCACGCCCTAAATTTAGCAGAGTTGCTTTTTGGTAGAAGAACTAAAACCAAAAATGAATATTGCCTGTTTGCTCTATAGTAGAATGAAAACACTTGGCAATTCTACAGAGGTGTAAACTAACATGTTTATCTGAAAGAAGCAGAAGTAATTTCTGCCTATGAACTGAGTTTTTTAAGAACCTTTAAGTCAATAACTATAGCATCCATTTTTACTCAGACTCTTTTGTCATCTTTTAACGTTCTCCTGAGGGCCACTGATGTATGTTACAACTGCAGTGTTAGGGTGCAGTGTTCCTTGTGGATACAAAGCTAGACTGTAAATGAGCAACATGCAAATAAAAGCTTTATAGTTACTAATGGAGTCTGTGAAATGTAAGCATTTTTGTTTCTTTATTGGATTAGCTGCAAAGGATCACATTCTTCATACCTGTGTGAATCCATTTAAATCACTGACATACGGGTTTTTACAGTGACTAGAACAAAATGGTTTAATGAAGACTTGGCTAGTTCTGTAGCATGTATATGGGTGTTTCTCATCCTATGGGGCACGTTGCCCTTTTTGCTGGGGTTGAGGAAGGAGAGAGACCAGCTGCAGTTCTGTGTAATCATTGGTGCCACACAGTCTGTAGCAGGCACTGTTGAAGAAGGGGAGGAAGATAAATCTATGCTCCAAGGGCAGCTACAATATAAAATGTATTACTGGCGGCAGAACTAAGTAGTGTCAATCAGCAATCCATCAACAAACTGTTTTTATTTAAAAAAAAAAAAAATCCTCTGCTTTTCCAATAACTTACTGTATTTCTGTAGTTATAGCTCATCGAGTCATTGCATATAGGTCCAGGCCTTTGCAATAAATGAGATAATGTCTCTGAATGGTTAAACTACACTCTGGACCATGTCCACACCTTGCTTTGTGAGCTACAGAACTACTAGATGCTTAAATTGGTGGCTCAGATAACAAACAGAAAAGATAAACCCCACAGGGCTGTAAAGGAAGGATTTTTGTTACTATTCTTTATATTGTGAAAATGGAGAAACAGTAGAAGTTCACTCTACTAACCTGTGAGCTCCCAGTGGTTTGTGCGCCATACCCAAGCTACAGCATACAGTACAGGAATGCTGTCTGATGACACTTCTTGTGTGTGTATATAGGAGTCAAAAGGAAAACGTGTCTGGGGCTCCCTTCTCTGACTCTCAGACTTACGCACGCTTACTCAGGGTATAGCAGGCCAATAAAACGACGCCATTTGTCTCAGCTGTAAAGGAAAAGCAGTTGTTCGTATTTGTAATGGTGAGCAATGATGATGCAGCAGCACCTCAGAGTCCCAAATGGCACCCACTGCTTTCCATCTGCCAAGGGAAGATGAGTATAGGAAACTTGGTTCCATCTTTCAAGTTTAGAAAGGCTGTTTGAGTGCTTTGCTGAAACTTGAATTTAAAACATCTGTTCTTACAACACAGTGGAAAAGGCTACATCATTTCTACATGTGAAGCTCCAGAGGACAAAGGCAGATCAAAGAGTCCCAGAATAATGCATTGGGAGCTGTGTGGCTACAGATGTTTCTTTGGAGATTTGTGGAGGGAATTAATACATTGAGTTCATGGGTGCATTTTAGTTTGTTTGTGTTTTTTTTTTTTTAAAAAAAAAAAGTGTTACAAATATGCAAGATTTATCGTGACATCACTAAACCCAGAAGAGGTAATGGTTGTGATCACCAAGCACACTGGAAACCTAAACAAACCACTTGGCCAGCATTTTCTTTGGCTTTTGAGCATCCTGGGTGATTTAGCCGCATGTTCTGGAAAAAGTATTTAGAGTAGCAGGAAATGCAGCTTCACTGTGTAAATGTAACTTTAACAGAGTCCATGATTTTCTCATGTTTGGGTTTAATTTTGGTCAGTTTGCAGCACAGTATCAGTACCAATGGAAAATGTTGCTTTTAACTTCTCAGCGATAGCTTCTCTTTAAGTTTCTTAATGGAATCTTTTGCACAGATGTAAATGTTAGACTGGCTTTTGAAACGGATGTTTCTCATTGGTGGATTACTCTACTTCAGCTGTAAATCGCTAGCTTACCTCTAGGGCCTTAATTTATAGCTGGTTTCCCCGTAACATTAACTTTGCAATTACCCACTCGCCATTGTGTCCTTCCTTTTATATTAAAATATATTATGCAGGACACCGACCTTGAAATTTTACACATGTTGAATTTGCTGTCATGGTATTTAGGCTGTAGGTGTACTGGTCTTCAAGTATTTAACATAATTTTTAATATACATGGATTTCTTAATTTTATGTATTCTAACCCAGTATTTAATATATTGTGTGTGTTGAAGTTGACTATACTTTCAACATAGTTCTGCCAATATACTGCGGTCATCATCTTCTTTAGTTCCTCAAAACAGTTCTTTAGTTTTCTTGTTCTAAAGAGAGTGTTGGCTTTGTGATAGTGACAAATACTCATTTTTGCTTAAAATAGGTTTTCCTTGAACCAACACGAGCTTTGATTTTTGTCTCTGTGTGTATGCTCTCCCCTGGGCCAAGCATTGTGAAAATGTAGAGCTAATCTACCTTTGCCTAATTGTAAGTCAGATGAAGGATGATTGATACATTTTTAAGAGTACACCTTTTTATGGAAAAGAATAAATCTAATACATGTACAAGATCAGTTTTCCATGAAAGTGTTTGGTGAAATGCAGGAAAACTTAGAACTGTAAATTGGATGAGGGCCTCAATTTTCAAAATAAGCAAGATTGTGGATTGAATCTATAAGATTTGGACATTTTTCAGACTAGTGCACGGGTCCAGACACAGGTTGGACAGGATATTTTAAAAGACAAGTGAGAATCACGCAGTTTCTCATGAGAGCAAGTGGGAGCTAGGCCCCTCCGTGCTTATTTTATTACTGCATTTCTTTCTAATTTAGAAGGGGAGGATGTGCTGGGCTTTCTGAGAACATGAGTCATATGTAATTGTGCTCTCTATATGTCCTACCCTCTTTCACCCTTCCTGAATAACTTGGAATCTGCTGGCAAATTTCAACCAGATTTCACTGAACTTTGCAGAAAACTTAATTGTCTTTGGAGATTTTTAACTCTTGTTCCAAGTTGTGAAATTTCACTGCTGCGTGGGGGAGACAGATCCAGGTTAGCTCCTCCATTGAGGAGGCAGCAGGGTCCGAGCTTCAGCCGCGGCCCCAGGTTAATCCACGTGCACCTGCTGGCCCAGTAGCCAGGAGGCACCGAGCTTCAGCCGGGCCCTGCTTCTGCTGGCTGGTGCCCAGTGGAGGTGGTAGCGGGGCACGAACGGGAGCAGGGATGACGGTGCTGGGGTTGGGCGTGTGGGCGCGCGGGGACGGAGAAGTCCGTAGGGAACCAGGCGTCATTCGCTGCTCATGGAACAACTTGTTGTTTTTTCTAAATCTTCCTCGTAGTCCAAAGGCTGCCCGGTAGAGGTAAGTACGCATGGAGCAAGCACATCAGTAAACGCTACTCATCAGCTTCTAATTGCCCTTCACTTCGCCTTCTTAAGAGCCCTTCTCTCGATCCTTTCAAAATGCCACCTGAAAAGCTCTTCTCCTTTGTCTGTGCCCCTCAAATTTTCTCCTTTTGCTGCTCTGCAACTGTCAAGCTTTGCATATAGCTATTTATAAAGCCCTAACCACCACCTTATTGATTAGGATTTTTAGTTTGTGATTCTGTAATTTTATTATTCTGGAAATAATTGTGTGATGCCTTTATGTGAAAGCTGTGCTATAAATAAAAAAATGTTTGTTTTTTTCCCCCTAAATAATATTATTCTTCTTCTCCCCTGGAATGTTAGGCATGGTGACAAGATTCTGGGAAATTGGATTAACTGTTTATGATAGGCATCACATTCAGCCTACACAATGATGGAATGATAACGTTTCCATTTAGGGAGTATCATCTCATCCTTGGATGGTGCTCAAATTCCTGTATGTGTGTAGTTAGTAACTCCCCGTGAAATAGCAGCTTAACTAAGGTGTGATATTAATGCATGGCTTTCTAGTAATGTAGTATATCGTTGTGAAAAACAGTAGTCTCTTATGAATGTAATCAGTAAAACTATAAATGGCGTGACTGTTCGTACGCTTGCTCATACGTGTAAAACTGTCACTGTCCCTTGGAAAGCGCAGAGTGAACCCATCAAGCACATTGCTGGTTTAGCGCTTCTTTTAAGGTGAAGGGTTAATATTAATAATGGCCGGAACTCTAGAAGTGCTGAAAATTACAAGTACTGCAAAGGTACAGCAGTGATTCGGAAAAATTAAAGCAAGAAAAGTGTTGCAAGAAATTTGAATATTTATCCACATTTCTGATGTGCCCTTATCAGACTGGATCTAACCAGCATTCTCCTCTCGGCTCCAGTATCTCGCAACACATAATTTAATAAGAGAAAGGAGGTCAGTGACCTAAGAGAAACCAAACATTTGCTGGGTCTCGTGGCTTCATTATAGCAGGCAGGCAGAGTTGGGGAAGGGTGTTAATTTGAGACAGTGTGTATAAAGAGAGAGGGAGGGAGTTAGAACTGAGATCTGCTAAAAATATAGAGCAGTATGAGTAACTGTTTGTGGGGTTTTTTCATTTGCCAGCCGAAACAAAAACCCAAACCAGTCCCATGTCATAGAAACTTCTTGTTCAATCCAAAAATAATATTTTCTTTTTTCATATTTTTTAGTCCTTAAAAATGAATCTGAACATCAAATATGCATTAAAAAAAAAACCAAAAAAACAAAAAAAACAAAAAAAAAACCAAAAAAAAAGAATGCTTAGGAATTTACAGTATATTTACAACTCAGATTATTTACCAAGGTTGGCATGTATTTGTGGATAGTGTGAGTTGAGCCAAAGTTTCATTTTTCCTGTCCAGGACATGTGCCTTGGTCTTACTCTTCAAGTACCAATAATTTATCTGCCTTATCATAAATCAAACAAAAAACTTGTCAGAAGTTTCCATGTGAAAGACCCATAGCATTGAGGCCATCAAATATGAGAAAACAATGAAGTCTAGGATGACTGCTTAAATATTTAAATAACTTTTGTATTTTATGTGTCTGGTTGTATTTGTAAATGTTTCTGTTCTTGCCAGGTCTGTACGTTAACAAAGGAAGATAACCGGAGAGTGGGGGTGATTCCAAGTGATGAACAGCTCCATGTGTTACCTCTTTACAAAATTTCACAAACAGATGAATTCGGCACGGAAGAGGGACTGGAAGCTAAGATAAAAGCCGGAGCCATACAGGTGCTCACAGCTTTTCCCAGAGAAGTACGAATGTTGGCCGAGCCTCTCAGAGCTACAAAGAAAAAGAAACCAGACACAAGGAGGACCCCGACTGAAAAGCAGCCGTTAATAGATAAAAAATATTCAACACCAGTAAAGCTGAAAACTGAAGCCCCAGAAAACCTTGGCAACGCTTTGCATTGTTTAGGTGAGTGGTACTTATTAAATTCTGCCGGTCTCCTCTGATACTGTGTTGCCTCTTACCCATCTGAGGGGAAAGAAAAGCTCCTTAATACTCGGTCTTATAAAATACTTGTATATTCTGCATTTTAGGGGCTAACGAGCAAGTCATTGTAGTCAATATTCTCTCTTGGCACACGAAAAAACCCAGGTGATCGCCCAAAAATAAGTTGGTGGTGGTGTGAAATATTTCCAAGTTCCCTTATTCTAACAAGTAATGGCAGTATGATCATCTTGAAATGCTGTTGTAGGAATATTTATCTAAATAACCGACATGAATTTCTGTCGTTTGAAAGTACAAGAACTGTGTTATCCACTTCCTATGAAAGACAATGGCTTTCTCAGAGTCTGAGTTGATGATAATTTCCTATCAAGGGCATGGATACGGCAGCAAAGCAAGAGATTTGCAAAAAAACGCAGGTTTTATCAAATAAGACAGCGCTTCTCAAATTGTTCCTTGAAATATTATTAGCAGGGGCCAGAGAGGTGGAATCTGTCAGCAGCCAGGTAAAAGGCATGCCATGTTTGTTCTGTTACAAGAAGGTTGCTATGGCCAGAGTCTTCTGCTACAGTAGGTGTTTGTGCAACATAGAATTGTGACTTGACCGAGCTGTGTGGCGGCGCCTCTGATTTATGCTGTTGCACCTGGGGTCAGATTTTGGACCAGTACATCAGAGGATAGAACTATTCTATGGGACTTTTCAGTAATGAGAAGTAGAAAAGAAGGAAGAGGTGGAGGAAGCCATGGACTTATATTCTGTGACGGGGGGGCGGGGTGGGCGGGCAGGGGGAGTAAAAGGAATTAAAGCATAGCCTATCTACCTTTTAGGGAGACGAGAGGAAAATTAGCCAACCTGCTATAATTTTGAATTTTATTTCATGAGAGACATCCAGATCTATGTAGTAGATTTAAGGGGAGGAGTAATAGTTAAATGTATTTAGAAGAATGTCTGCATTTTGGGGGGATAAAATTAAAAAAAAAAAAAAAAACATTTAACACATTCTTTAATTTGCGCTCAGCACCCTGCTTTGTCTCAGTAGAGGAGTCAGGGCAACCAATAAACTTTGCATATAGCAAGATGGAATAAGAACAAGAAAAGCAGTATTACTGACACCCCTTGGAAACTAGACAGACACTCAGTTAATCTACACGCAAGTTTGGGAGACACAGTCCAGGCTTTGAAACAAATTTAAAAGGACCCCTCAGGCTGAGCACGACGTCCAACAATAACTCCGAAGCAATGATTAATAACTTCCATCATGCTCAGGGTGGACTGGAAGTCCTGGAAACATTAGAGGACCCTGGTTTGGGAAGGAATTCTGAAATTGTCTGATCTCACTGGAACGTTGTTTTGAAACACTGAAATAGAGTTATGAACTGCCTACCTGTCCATGACATTGTAGTTACAAACAGGCATGGCTTTGATATCTGAAAACCATGCCTTTAACAAATGGTACAATATCCAGAGTTGTGTCATGTGCTTTGGGAAGATAGAACTTTATTCCTTGAACATGCAAAAATAATAAAATAACTCTGTAAAAAAGCCAACTTATGTAATTTGTTTGGACTTGAAGTGTTTTGGTAAAGTAATTTAAAAGGGCTGCTGATAAAAATAAGTCACAGAGTGAGGAAGAAATACTTTTATGAGTGAGAAAATTGTTCAGAGATGGAAAAATAAGAATGTGAATAGAAATATTTAGTTTCTATGATAAAAGTCCAGTTTTTGTCATGGAAGTTTTGACAGTAGAATCCCTCAAAATAGGCATCAACACTATAATCCCCAAATCTGATGGCACATATTGCTGCGGTTGGCCATGTGAACAATTTCAGAGAGGCTTTGCTAACTGGGCAGCAGTGGCAGAGGAAGTTCAGGTTTGCCAAGGGCAAGGTGTTGTGCTCTGCATGATACAGATAACTTGAAGCATTTATGCACATCATTTATGTGTTTATTCATCGTCATACAGGACGATGGCTGGGTAAAGACCTCAGCACACCACTGCTGCCCTGCCCCTAACCCACAGTAAAATGCAAAGATCTGTCAATTACGGATTTGGAACACCACTGTATTGTACTTGTACATACAGGTTTTTGCAGCTGTAGGGGATCAGTCATTGATTGGTTCTTTCCATTCTGCCAGTGCCAGTCATTTTAGTCCTGAGGAATGGAAAATTTTAGTCTAGCTGAGATTGTTAGGCTTAATATGAAAACAAAATCAAAGGGCCTGTGAGACAAGAGGAGTTGAAACTAGACTATCCAGTAGTCACTCCTGATGGTAAACTAGAGGAAATAAGTATTTAAATCAGGATCCTTTCATATTAATAGTGGCATTCAATTCTGGTCACACCATTTAAACATAAAACAAAAGACAAAGGATTGAAAAATAGTAAAAAATGATAGAAAAACTTACTAGGGGAAGAAAAAATATACTGCCTATAGTTTTAGGTAAGCAGTGAATAAAGTACTGCTAAAGGTATGTTAAGCAAGTCAGATATTACTATTAAAATTTCTCCTAATATAAGAACAAAAGAATACTTAGCCACACTTCAGCTGTAAAGGAAAAGGTATTGATAAATGGTGTATGTAGTGTATCGTACTCAATTTACTAACGAGGACAAGAGTTTAGAATATTGGTTTGGCTTATTAAGTATTAAAAAGAATATGGAGAACGTGCAATTAAATGAGATGAGAGAACTGTGGTATATATGTCAGTCATGTTTTCGGCCATGTGAGGCTATCGCTCTTTGGAGTAGCCTGGAGGATCACGGAGGAGCCACAGGGCCGGCTATGCCATATTGCCCATGATGCAGATGTAGTATGTTCTTTTGAAAGAGACCTGACCATCGTTTCAGAGCCATTGCAGTATCCCCCAGCTGGAAAGCCTGGAAAGCTGGAGACCTGCACATCCAACCTGCACATCCTCACCACATGGAGAACTAGAAATTAAAAAGGGATAAGAGAGGACTCTCTTGTCCTCTTTACTGTCTTTACCTGGCAGCAGAGAATGGTGGTGGTGAGGACCTTCTGAGTGCTGAAGACAAACTAAGTCGGCTTGGTAGAGCGTGTGTACGTGAAGACTTGGTTTGAATCTCGACTGAGCCAAGTCCTTTGTAGAAACTGTGTATTAAATAGGGTGCACTTGTCACGCACCTTTTGCCAACAGCAAGCAGCACAACTGTTAATTTTTACATTTGTGCTAATGCTGAGAGCCTTTGAAATCCTAAATTGTTATGAAATGCATATTAAAGATAGAGGCCTTACATCCTTCCTTGTATAGTCCTGTCATTTAGCCACATTATTCTGGACAAATAAACTTTAGAGACAGAAAGGTTTTGTCTCCATAAATACCAGCAATTCTTCTTGGCCCGTATTGGATAGAGCAGGAGATGAACCACCAACTTAGAGACAGTTTCCCAGCTGTTCTCCCACAGCAGAGTAGTACTTCAGCCAACAGTTCCCAGCGGAGACATACCAGACTCCTGGGGAGCAGTGCCACCTTATCTGAACCGTTACTGATTTCCCTCTACCCATATATTTGAATTAACTTCTCTTAATCTCTGCTACTTTGCCCCACAGAACAAGGAGCTTCTGGCAAGGAATGGGGAATTTGCCGGAGCCATAGCCGTTTTGAGAGTGCTGTGGGTTGTTAGAACTTATTTTCAGAGAATGTAGGTCTCTTCACAGATGGAAAAGTGCAATTCTCAAATGCTGTGTTTCGGATCTTTTGGAGGAAGGCCTTGGTCTGGGGGGGTGTTCTTAATTAAATTAAATGCTTTGAGTTTGATTTCATAGAAAAGGTTTTTAAAGAGTTGATGTGGTTTCCTTATGTCCCTCCACAACTTCAGTATTTGCATACTAACTGTTGGGTCTGTAATTTACCCCACTTTGCCTTTTTTGCATTCCTATTGAAAGAATCTTTTTAATCCATCACTATTTATAAATTATTAGAAGACAGAATAGAAGAAAGAATAGTTCTTCTATATTCGGTAAAGCAATTAAACGTTCTGTGTATTTATGGAACAAAGAAGAAACACTGACAGAGACGGTCTTTTATGAGAATATGCGAGAGCTCTCTGTGGGGTGCCAGTTTGCCAGCAGAACACATATAAAGCAATTTCAGGGCATGATGCAAAGCCAATCAAAGTCCATGGAATTCTTTCCCATTACTCCAGTGGACTCTGGATTGAACTTATCCATGACGAGGATGAGTCATTTGAGGAGACTTCCACAAACAAGCACGACTGCAGGGTGCCATGGCTGGAAATTGATTAGGGAGCTGACATAAATTGAATAAGTATGTCTCCACAAAGAGCTGAAATAATTAATGTGTGGCAATTAGATGGAAGACAGGCAAATCACATGATGCAGCTTTGTAAGGATGGATTTACCTGGAGTATATTGCCAGATACTTTTTTTTTTTTTTAAAGAAAATTTCTGAGTAGTTACTTGCTAATGCACGAATCATTGTAATTCAGGAACTTTTTTGCTGCGATGGGCGAGATCTATAAACACACTTTCTCCTTTGATTATAATATGGGGTTAAGGCAGCCAAGAATTTTGATTGTTTCACAGGCTTAATTTCAGGCAGACTAAATTTCATCAATTATGTAAAAACTTTTACATAGTGCTTCCTGCTAGCCTGGGCAGTGCTGAAGGCCAGCAGCCAGCTGCTGGGAAGCTCTTGTGTAGAATTGGGCTGTGTGAATCGGGACTGACTTACCCATTTATTTTATTCATCCCTCTGTGAAGCACCTGTCTATTTTATATACTGGCAGTCTGACTGGAAAAGGTTAAGGTGTTAATTCAGCAAGGTTATTATGTATGTACTTACGGTCATAGAGATATTCCTAAAAAGCTAAAAATAACCATTTTGAAAAATCTGTAGTCATCACATATATCTTCCATATTAGAAAGCAAGTATGAAAATATTATAAAAGATATATCTTATTAACTAAGTGAGGAAAAGTACTTACACTTTGGTGTGCATTTTTTTTAGGGAACAAAACAGATGCTTTAAAACCTGGAATAAAAACGGAGACTTCCGATCACCTCTATGCCATGAAACATACTTCAAACACTACTAAAAATTGCTCTTTATTGAAACAGTATACGGCTTCCTCCCCTTTTAAGGTGGATAGTTTACATCCTTATTCATCTTTAGCACATAAGCCTGGCATAACAGCAGTGACTAATATTCAACAAGATTTTTCAGTTCCCTACGGGTATTTTGAATGCAGTAGTAAGCAACCTCACGTGACACCTTACGTTAATTGTAAGAACTTTGATGTGTCGGTCAAAGATTATACTGGAATTTTGCTGAATGATAAGATGAATGGTGTGCCACCGATTCTTCCAGAGGTCACTGCTCCAGGCCCCCCAGCCCATAAAGACCCCCTGCCCACTATACTTGAACATCATCAGCCAGACAAACAGAGTTGTCAGCTTCAGTTAGACAATTCTCCTTCTTCACAGATGATCAGCTCTTGTGATTTGTCAGTACCGCTAAGCTCTCCAGCAAAGGATGCAGTCGGAAACGAAGCTGACTGTTCCCATGGATGCCCAATGGAAAAGGGCAGCTCCCATCGAGAACAGATGTGTGATTTTGACTGTGTTGACGAAAAGCAAAACAGTGCACTGGGACAACCGACTGATTCTGAAGAAAAAGCTGAGGAAATGTGGTCAGACAGCGAGCACAATTTTTTGGATGATGACATTGGCGGGGTTGCTGTGGCACCTTCTCACGGTTCTATCTTAATTGAATGTGCAAGACGTGAACTCCATGCTACCACACCTATTAAAAAACCCAACCGCAATCATCCCACAAGAATTTCTTTAGTTTTCTACCAACACAAAAATTTAAATGAGCCAAAACATGGGTTAGCCATGTGGGAAGCAAAGATGGCTGAGAGGGCGAAAGAAAAAGAAAAAGAAGCAGAAAGATTAGGAACGGAGAATACTGAACTAAACTCTAACAGCAGGAAAACAAAGCAAACAAGTGAAAACAGAGATATTTTTTATGAAGACAATGAGTTCAACCAAATTCCATCACGCAGAGCATTAACAGTAACTAAGGATAACGTAATAACAGTATCTTCTTATGCCCTTACACGAGTTGCAGGGCCTTACAACCATTGGGCATAGGTTTTAGTATCAAATGCCTCCTCTTGGTGCAGTGTTACACAGTGTTTCTTTAAGGTGCTGTTAAAGAACAAGTCTCGTGTCGTTTACTATTTGCTCATCTCAACCATTTTAAGGCTGAGGTAAAAAAAAGGGGGGGGATTTCTTCTTAAACTGTGACTTTAACATTTGGTGGTGCTCAAGCACATTTTAAGCAAAAAAAAAAAAAGTTGTATAGTTTTAATACATTCTAAAAAAGATTTTGTTTAGGTTATTAACCTTGATTGAATCATTCAGTTTATTACCTTTAGAAATTTATATTTCGGTGCTTTAAATCAAGTCTGTTTACTACAAAAATCATTTATAGGGATTTTAACAGGTTCACATTTTATGGTGTTAAATCAAGTTATACAGTAATAGCTCTACACAGCTCTTGGTGCTTAACCACATCAAACAATTAAAAATAAATAAGCTGAATTATTACTTCATGGTGCCATTGCTTTAACAACTTCCAACCATTGCTATATAGTCCAAATTACAGATAAATCTTTTAGAAAACCAATGAATTTTTTTCTCTAGATTTGTCATTATGTATGAAATGAAGTTATTGGTAATGATGGCTGGAAGTTGTTTTTAAGCTGTAAATATATATTTTAAAAGCACTTTCTATTTTTAAAATTAACTTGAAATAGTATAGTATAAGGATCATATTGTCTAAGGTTTGTGCATACTCTACAGAAGAAATCATTTTATTCTTGCTGTGTAGAGTTCCATATTGTTACAGCTGCAGTATGTATGCTTAATAGCATATGTGATTGTTTTTAGACTTGCCCTTTTTCATCGAAGATTTTATGTTGCATATAAACAACAGTTATAAAATACAGAAACATTTTATTATTTTCAAGAGAGTGTACAAACATGAAATTAGGAGACATCTTGTCAATATGTGTGTTGCTATTGGGAGTTACGAATATTATTTGGTTTTCTAAAGGCAGCATTTGTTATGATTTCTTTGAGCAATAAGTGCATAAGTCTCATTCGTTTGGAGCATTATAAGTTAACATGACAACCAAATGTTCCTAATGCCTCAGGGGTAGGATTGTTTTGGGATAAAAAAATACCCCCTAGAGTTGCCTTATTCTATTCTGGGAAAAAAAAGAAATTAATTTGGGGAAAATACACAGGAAGTGTTGGAAAAGTATGAAATTTCTAATATTTAACAACAAATTTTTCATTAAGAATAACCCACCTGTAATATTCACCAGCTTTCTAAGTTCATTTTTTTTTTTACAAAAATGTTTTGTAAATTTTTAAAGTGATTTATACATTTCATTTAGAGAAAGGGTTGTATTTTTCCTTCCAAACATACGAAATTTATGTTCTCCATTTCTGTTGAAAAAGTGACATATCATGAAATGAGTATTTGCTAAACCAGAGGAAAAACAGACACTCCATTGCTTTTAAATACTGTAGCATCCCACTCTTCTTTCTGATTCTCCTCTCCTATGTATTTCTTTTTTAAACTTATTTATTTAAACAAATTACCAAATGACAATGTTAGCTAAGGACCGACCTCATCCTGCAACTTCTTCCATGAGAACAGCTCTGCGTAGCCATACCTGCCCAGTCAGAGCCAGGAGGACCGCTCAAGCCAGGACTCCTCTCGTGACTGAGAGCTGCAGGATCAGGCCCCAGAGACAAAGCTGTACCTTAATTCTGCCTCGGAGTCCTCCCCGGCTGGGTAACCTGTAGGTGTAACGAGGTCAGAGTTTTCCAGTGCGAAAATATACTAATAATATACTTGATAATATTATAATGTAGTGGTGCTGTAACAGAGGAATATGAACTATCTAGATCTGCTTTATTTAAAACCTAGACAAGGTGCTTTTTCCTTGAAAAGTTGAACTGTAAGCGCTATCTATATTTACAGTTTCGGTACGAAAAGTACATAAATTGTATTTTTAACACATAGTGCCAGTTAGGACCTTGGTGCTACAAATACTTAAATGCGGCTGTAGATCAATGAGACTATTCTCCTGTATAAATGTATACACGTCTAGTGTTTGCAGGAGCAAGGTCTGAAGTAGCAATCACTACGTAACGACCTTGGGTTCAATTCTACAGATTCCTGTCGAAATTAACAAAAATGTTGATGGCAGAGGATGGCCGAATTGAACCCATTCTTTGTATCTTACCTATTTTAAGTAAAATTTGTAAAAACCGGGTATGCTGCAAATTTTAGTTCAAAGGTCAATATTAGTTCAAATAGAGGATATGAAGGGATTGTAAATAATAATAAAACAAAAACAATATTATGCCATTGTTTTGTACCAGCAGTTTTATGCTTCTTGACTATGTAATATACAGTATACATCAAATCATTATGGTATTTTGTGTGCCTTAGATTTCCATTTTAAAACTTGTATATTTTTGGTGAGCCGAAGATTAGTAAAAATTCCAGCTGTCCATACAGTAAGTAGTACTGTACGTTCTCTAGCTGTTCCATTCATGTATTTGCTATCTAAAACCCCTTGTCCGACACCACAATCAATCATTTACAGAAAAGATTAGTTTATTGGTCTCACTGATAGTGCTGATAGCTTTAGTTTCTATAATGCAAATTGAAAAAATCATTTATCATTCAGCGTTCCCATGTGAATCACAATTTTTGTATACAAAATTAGTAAGTTACAGAGCCATCTCTTTACCTTTTAAAATGTTCAGATCATTAAAGTGGATCATTTTTACTTGAATCTTCCCCTATAAATGCCCATGTTTAACTTATGTATGATTGGAAACTTCAAGATAAAAATGTTCCATTGAAAAACCAGCAGCTTCCCTCAAAGTGAGAAACCGAAAGGTGGATCTGAAAGGATGCCTCCAAACATAGCCCCTGGCAAGGCACTGCTCAAGTGACTGCACCAGTAGACTTTCAGGAAGTCCAGGTCTACCTTTTCTGAAATGGCAATTTTAACAGAGAAAAGTATATCTTAACATAATAGTTAATGCTATTAACTGATAGGTGCTAAAACTCACAGTTACTACTTTATTAAGATTACTTACATGAGAAAAATGTTATCATCTATACAATAACATATCATTTGCGGTGCTCTTTCCTTGACTGTCTATCACGTAACTACTTTTTCAACGTGTATCTAACAGGCAGGTTAGCTGGCCACTTTTATTTCCTGCTGTGGCACACAGCAGGTTGTCATTTGAGAAGCTAGTATTTTCTATTGCTGTACTGCGGTATAGAAAATGCAACTATTTACTGTTTTTACAACTGTGTGCTATTTATTTTAACATTTCAGAATATTTATCAGTCTTGTACACAAATTATGTGGTTTTGAGTAAGGTTATAATTTTATAACAGTATTTGTCTCTTAAAATTTGCGAATATGTGGATCTGTTGCTTTCCTTTGCAGCCCATACAACCACTTGTAATTTGCTCTCACCCCTTAACAAAGTCCTTCTAGGATGGCCAGATCAAAGAGCTGGATCTAAAATTAAGGTAGCTGGCTAGGTCAGACCTGCGTATTTTACTTGGTTTCCAACAGCTGGACTATGCTCTGGGTGAATAACCAGAAAATGGATTCAGGTGTGGGCAGGTGGTAGGATGTGGTTGTCTGTTGATCCTTTTTCACAGTACCTTAGCAAAAACTGTCGTGATCCAACATTGGACACCTCTGACTTCCCAGAAACAATGTCTCTCATCCCTTTCTCCACTGGGTCCAGTACCACCACTCCACCTTCACTCGGAGGGAAGGAGAAGTGCTTTCTGCAGGAGCCAGTTCTGTTTGACCCACTGAGTCCCTGCTGGAGTTACTGCAGTCGTGCCCAATTAAATAGTGAATTTTACTTGTGCAGTTTCTCTGCCCTTACTGATTTGTAACATGCTATTGTATTACAGAAAATAGAAATAATTATTTCTATAAATATTTTAGTCACAAGATCCAAAAAGCTTTTTAAGAACTTACAAATACTTGTGACTTTCTAGCTGTAACAGTTGTATTCAGATTTTTTTTTTTTTTAAGGACTTTCTAAGCTAACTTTTACTTAGGAATAACTGCTGTTAAAAGTCCTTATCTTACCTATGACAGTGCTTCTCTATACTTAGAACAGGAAATAACTATAGTATCTTAAGCAACATTTTATGTTAAGCATGGATGAATGACAACTTTTAGTACTTAAGATTATTTGTAACATACAACTGTTTGGGGTTTCTTAAAGACCTTTTTAATATCATTGCAGTATTATGCTAAATTTGGTGGGTTAAATTTGGGTCCTGTTTACGTTGCTGCAGCCCCATTGACTGCAATGTGCTCATTCATCAAGCTTTTGTGCAATTATCATATTTAACTGGATGGATATGGATACAGTTGACCAAAGTCTGGGCTGACTCAGACCCTTGCAACCCTACCACAATTAATAGGTTTCGCCAGGACAGACGGAGAGAGATTTGGAGTAAATGTTGTACTTCTGGTTAAACACAGAGGTTATATTGTTTGTAGCATGAGAAACTGATTCAAGGTCTGTAGAGAGACGTAATACTTTCACCTCAAGTTTCGGGCACGCAGGCAGGTCTATTTCAGACCACCTTCAGGCTTATGCTCTTGACAGCTTTTTTGATTTTTCTTATCTCATAGGTTGTTCAATGAGAGAGAGATGTTATGGAAGCATGCTAACAAAACTGCATCTTCATGTTTTTGTAATGTAAGGTCAATCTTGCCCTTTCACTTCCCATGATATTTCTCTTCTGTTGAAATTAGCTCCTTTTATCAAGCAGTCATCAGCTTTGTAATCCATTTATATATGTATGATTTTTCTCTTCTTTTCCACAGAAATCCTGTAATTTCTAGGTTAACAGGAGGAAATAACTGTGCCCTCAGATGTATGTGAAACTAAATTGCACGTCCACTTCCACACTTTTTATACGTAACGGCAATTACATTCAGGCAGTGTTGAACAAACTCTCTTTCAGGTCTGCTGTGGTAGCTAAAATTCAGATTAGGCTCTTTGTGACA